AAAAAAAAAAAAAAAAACCCACAAAAAGAAAGCTACCAAAAACCCCTCCAGAAAAAAAAAAAAAAAAAAAAACAAAAATCCCACCCCAACACTATGTTTATAATTAAAAAAAAAAAAAATAGCTTTATATCTTATGTAATGGTAACTATTTAGCATTCTGGTACAACATGCTTCAGTCAGCAGCAGTTGGGTCTAGGGAGGAACAAGGAAACTGGTTTAAAATTCCTTTCCTCAGAAACAGCAAGTGTGTTGTCTTACATTGCTGAGCCGCGAGTTTGTTTAAAATCGGGCACGTCTGTGTTACAAAAGGGTTTTAGTCATTCTCTGACAGCTGATACGAAGCAAAGGCTGCTTGGTAAAGGAAAGCTTCTATTAAATATGTCTTCTGGTCTTTGTAATGATGACAGAAAGCTGTCAGTGTAAAATGGTATTTTTTTAATGAAGCTGCTGATAGAAAAGAAGCTTTACAGTTTTGTGCTTTAAAAATAGTATTCCTAGAAAAACAGAGTTGGGTGGCAGAAATTATTATGCTTCATTCGATTGTAAATTGGGACTTTCTATTTTTACCTGGCATTAAATTGCAGAATTTCCTCTCTGTTGATGTTTCCCCCCTCACACAGCCCCCTGAATATCAGGCTAGCCCAGAGATCCAAGGCTGTGAGGGGAGGAATATCAGGAGATGGCAAAGATTTCCAAAAGAGGCTGTTACCCTGATATACGTTGGTTCAGCTCTCTTTATTCTGTGGTGTTCAAGGGGAGAGTGGGGCAAAAGAGGACGAACAGGAAATGTCAGGGGTTTATATAGACTTTGGACAGGGTGGGCTTCCCTGGCTCTCCGCCAACCCCGTTGGGGCAGGAAGGAGGGGTCCAGGGTTATCTTGATCAGAGTCACAGGGTCCCGGGGACAGGGGAAATAGAGTGCCCATGAGCTGACTGTAACACCCTGTGTGAGATACTCCAGGCAACGATCACCTTCTCATTTCCCTTTGTTAAACATCCTGGACATAGTTTCACCTGATACCAGACTCTTCCATGTGTTTACAGCAGAAAGCAGGGTGAAAGAATTTAAAGCTGATTTATAAACTGTCACTGCTTAGTTTATACTGGCCCCATTCACTTTCTTCTGACCTTGAAAAATCTCATGTTTCTAAGATGTTTCTCTCCCTGTACTATTTTCAAGGGGGGAGTACTCCCTCATTTGTTAGGATTTCTGCATGCAGTGATGAATTTGTGATGGAGCTGAAGCAGGAAGTGCAATTGACCTGTGGAGGCCATGAAGTCTATCCCTTGTACAAACAGGGAAGCACCAGTCATGCTGCCCATGCAACAACCATCCCACCTGGATCTTCTGCTGGATGCATTCAAAGTTAAGCATCATTTCTGCAATTCTCACTTGCCCTTTGGCCCTAAGGCAGCCCTGAGCACTGGTTCCTAGAAGCAAAGCTCGTTCTCCAAGGCCAGCAGCACTGAGCACATCACAGTACCTGGTATCTGCCATCCACCCAAGTCCCTCTCACTCACCAGCCCCTACTTGGCCAGGCTGCAGGTATCCAAACCGGATACTGCCACTCCCTTGCTCTCAGCACTTCGGATTTTGGCACCCACATCTCATAAAACCCAGTCAGCATATCAAGACCAACCTGGCTCCAGGTAACCCTCACGGAAGGGTGCAGTGACCTGCCTTTGGTCGGCTGCCAGCCCCCTCCCCAGCGCAGCAGGTGGCGGATCAGGGTTCATAAACCCCCCTGTTCCACACCGCACTGCTGGCACAGCAAAGCTGTTTGGCTTCTGCTGGCTGTGCCGCCTGCCTTGCCAGGATGGACCTGTTACCGAAAAGGAAACAACCTTCACAGCTTATCTTTCTCCTCACATGGTGTGGGTGTGAGTGACAGATTATTGCAAGCTTCCTGCTCAGTTGCTTGTCTTAAGTAGCCAAAAGAGATACTCCTCACTCAGAAAAGAGGTTCAATATTACTTTTCCCCTTAAGTTTGGATGTAATGCAAACATCTCTTTAATCCGTTCATTTCCAAATGCAACCAAGACAGCTGTAGAGGGACTCCTACTGCTTAATAACAGCCTCTAAACTCACAAGTTTATTGAAACATTGTGATTTCGGTATTGAAAGAAAGAAAATCATCAGAAGGAATTTACTAGTTTGAGTACCTGTTTATTTAACATACACAAGAATTTTACCCCTGCACTTTCAAAAAGTGGAAAAAACATGGCAACTTTTCTCTTTCTGTGATAATGGAGAAATAACAGATGACAAAATACAACAACCAGGCATTTTATTTGCTGTTTTACTTACACTCATACACACACAAGAATCAAGTTAGAGGTTTTAAAAATACAATAAAAAATGTCAATAAAAATATTTCAACTTTTTGCCTGAAAAAGAATGTTCATTTCAATTTTCTGGCAGAAGATTAACACGACTTTAGTTATCTTAATTCTTACCTGAAATTCTGCTTATGTTCAGAGGAAGAAACTCATACAACCAGTATTCTCATTTGCCATTAACATGTAGATAAAGATGGTTTTTGTTTTGGCAGAAAAACCTTATTCTGCACAGATAGGAAGTCTTTCCTCCATAACTGTTATCCTTCTCAATTAATGTACTATTTGCTGACAAGCTCATTTGCTACATGAGATTTATAATTTATGTTCTATTACAAATCTTTCAAAAGAAATAATACACTCAATTTGCCTTTCCCTATTCTGTGTTTCACTGGGATTAAACACAAATAGGAGTTATTTTCCTTTAGGTATCATGCTGCTATATTTGCAGTTTACAAAAAAAGGGGTCTACACAGCTTTAATCCAGCTAATCATGGTCAAGCTCCTGGCTCACAATGCTGAAGTAATAGAGTTACCCAGTGAACACCTGTCAATCATCATCCAGAAGAGTTAAAAAGAAGTATATGGAATGCAGCTGAAGATGAGCTTTTTTAGGTCATATAGAAAGTATTTCTTAAGGCTTCTGCAGCACACTGTAGCTAACTTATAGCTACTTTAGCACATTATTTCTATGATAAATTATCTATCTATGCATCAACAACTTTAATATTAAAAAAATATTTGATAGCTCAAGTTTTTTGATTGCACATATGTAAGCTGACTGCTCAACACTACTATCTTCTTCTGATAAGAATAATTAAAAATTCAACTTAATCTTCAGATTTTAAAGGTTTCAGCTCTGTGGCTGAAGACAAATTCCCAGGTAAGCATGTTGAAAAAAGTCCAGCAATAGCTTGATTACACAGGAAATCTGTGAATGTCCTGCATCCAAAGAGGCAGAACACCTAATGAGAGACAGTCACTCCCCATTCTTCCCAACAGCTGTAAGGGAACCATAAGGTTCATCCACAGAAAGAAGGTACTGACAATCAAGCAGGACAAGCAGTATATTTCCCTCCTAAGTATGGTATGAAATAAGTGTGAGTTGCCTCCTTTGCTTCCTCCACAACACCTGCCAGGACTCTTGTGTTTGTAGGCACAGTGAAAGTAACAAAAAACTTGTGTTCTCAGACATAAAATATAGTATTTATTTGATAGAGTAAATCAACTGAGTCCCACAGCACCAAGCAACCCCTGTTATGCTTGTATCTTTGGTAATTATTTTAAATGAGAAACTCAGCAAGTGAAAATACATCTCTTTTTCAACAAGCAAGTTTAATTTTTGAGGTTTTGTTGGTGCAGACAAAAAAGAAGAGTGCTACTGAGAATTTATGCAATGAGTTGAGCACAGATTGTACAGTCACATTTGCAAACACCTCATTGTCTACTGTTACAGGAGACAGATTACTAAAAAACATGTTTTATCCAGTTTTGAGTTAAAAGAAAAACAGGCAGAGGGATAGTGCCTCTGACCAATGAGCACATATAAAAATTTATCCTGAAACAATACCTTAAAATTGTTTTAACTTGGCAGTCATGGCCAATCCTCATGCTACAACCATCAGCAATTTATTCTAATAAATTTATGAAAGGCTCCCAAAATGTAGGGTATATGTGAAAGCTGATACAAATAAGATACAGAAACAGGATTTTAGGAATTCTAAAACATCCTCTATGCCTTTTTATGCCTTGTTTTCTATTACACAGAAAAGACAGAGAAAAAATGTTTCTGAACACTCACCTATCTGATCACACAGCTTCTTCAAACTCAATTTTTCTCTCTTAAGCCAAAACTAAAAAACTTTTAAACCAGTTAAACGCAAGAATGACGGGTTTTGTTGCTATAGAAGTCTTGCCAGTGCCTGGTATTCTATGAGATACTCTGGATAAATCTGCTGCTTCTCAAAGATGACAAAGATAGAAGGATTTGTAGAGTTATTCACACAACTGTCATAGAATTTTTGGCTGTCCTTCATCGGAGGCCGAACATAATGAGAACTACCAAGAGTGAACTCCCCCACCAGCACTCGTGCCAGAAACATGGTCTTGGTGTTTGAGTCTGTCCCACAGTAGTTGTCAGAATAAGATGCATCCCTTGCAAAATAGCTTCCTGCAGAAGAGACACCAAGACAGAGTTTAAGACACTAAAACAGCAGGAACAAAGTGATACTGTGTGAAAATGAATTAACAAACAAATCCATTAAGCACTGAACAGCCTTTCCAAAGCCTTCACTCACCCTCTATGTCCCTCTTAGTGGAAATTACCACTCTGCAATTTTTCGTTTGCACAGCACACATATTAAAATGTTTAAATATTTAAATCAATGTTTAAAATGTTATCATAATCTTCTAAAAGATATCCTCCTGACTCTAGATGTCCACCTCCCCCATTATCTCCACATTTCCTCTCTGGGCAGAGACTACTAATATTCATCAGCACAGCTGGACTTGATGATCCTTGTGGGTCCCTTCCATGCTCAAAATACACTGTGATTCTCTAACATTTCTGAGAGTTTCAAAGTATTCAAGTAGAAAGGTATGTAGTCAGCCAGTCAGCCTGTCTCAGCTATTCCACTTGATGTGCTGGTAATTTCCTCTACATAGGACAATATAGAAGGATATAATCTGCCAACCTGTAACCAGAATGGCATTTAGATTCTTGGGGAAAAAAAAAAAAGAAAAAAAGCCATGGAGTTGGGACAAACTGGAACAGCAGTAAGCCTGAAGTCTAGCAGAAACCATCCCTACAAATAACCTCTCCTAAGTCTGTCTTTTCTTTCAAGTACTTAGGAGAGCAGAGGCCAAGGCCTTTCACAGTGCCTTAGCTCCAAATGACCCTTGTGAAACTCAGCTCTGTTGCCCACATCATGACAGAGAGAAGCTCAGGACTGGCCAAGTATCACCTTGCAAACTTTACCCCTCTGCAGTGAGTACTGAGAATTTTCTAGCAAGTCTAGGATTACAGGAAGAGCTGACAAACAACCTTTGCCATAGACTGTCCCATGAAGGCCGCAGATTCTCCAGTCAAAGTTTTGCTGACAGATGGCATCAATGTCTTTTTTACTGGTCCCATGAAATAAAAATCGCTCATCTGCAGCCTTTCCACCATTGCTCTTCTGCATTAGGTCCTTCTGCCTGCAATGAGAAGCAGAATCTTTGCAGTTCCACAGTGGCTGTCCCCACAGGTTCCAGCCACTCTGAAACAATTTTACACAGAGTATATTCTGAAAATCTTTACAGCCTAATTTGGGCATGCAAACATGCTTTCACATTATACATAAATGCTTTAACTACAAATGTTTTCTTTCATTCACTACCTTTGAAGAGAGAGGGAGGAATCTCAGTGGGTTTTTTTTATCTGAACACAGGAGTTTATATTGAGGCCTGCCCTCCATGAGTTATGCATTTAATTTCAAAGGCTGTTTCAATTTTGACCAGCTGCAAAACATTGTGCTAGATGTGACTCATTACCAGCTTCAAGATTTAACTGGAAGGAAGCTGTCATGGACACAGGCCTGGCAGAAGTCAGGAGCAAGGATTCCTCCCACACAGCCCTGAATTTGACTGTTCTAAGCTCTGTGTCTTGACTGAGTTTTGGGCTTGTTGATAACTCTTTATCTAAATGTTGATACTAGGTAGGTATTTCAGTGGGAGAGTGGTAGCAGAGGCATTTCAGGAATGCATGTTCTATCTTTAGCGCAGCACATACAGCTAACTGCAGAAACAATAAATAACATGCATAACATGTTATACAGAAACAATAAATAACATGCCAGAGCAATGTTTTACACTTACCATTGATACAGTTCCCAGAGGGATGGGTTCTGAACTCTACAAATCTTTTTGATAGGAGCTTTGGGCATTGTGCGCTGAAAGTCCACTTTGACTTTCTTGTATTCTTCAGAAGAACAGTCAAGCTCAATCAGCTGCAAGGAAAAGTTTGAAAAGTTACTTTTGCATGCTTTTGTGCAGCCACTCAATCCCTCTTAATATCTGTGTCAAGATATATTTGTATGCATCAAACAGTATCTAAATAAATAGCAGAAATGAGCACATAAATAAAAAAGGAATTGAGAATCTTTTTCAGTTTATCCTCCCTACAGCCAGTGAACACAAACTGCACTGCCTCTTGTGTTTCTAAATCAATTGAAGAGGCTTTATTCAAACAATTTTAAGAAAAAGCATGGTCACACTACTAAAAATCAGATCCTTACATGACAGTTCTGAAAGAAAGCAAAGTTTACTTGCAAATTTTTCTAGGGACATAAAAATGTCAATGTCGGTCTTATTTCTTAGTGACAACTTCTTGAGGATTTGCATTTTGCAAGTTAGTGATTTCTGAGCATCAGATAACACCTTTTCTCTAGGTACAGTTACTGGAGTTGACAGAGGAGCTGGTGGAAGCAGACAGGAAGTCAGAGAAGGTAGCCACACATATATTAATCGGGTGTGTTACAAAGGCAAACAAGTTTACTCCACTGCAATGAATAAAATAATAAGAAATAAAATAATAAAACATCCCATCTTGAACAAGCTGTCTTGGGAAGTTGTAGAGTCTCTCTGGAGATATTCAAAACCTACCTGCACACAATCCTGTGTGATCTCCTCTGGTTGAACCTGCTTTAGCAGGGGGGTTGGCTTCTGTGATCTTCAGAGGTCCCCCCTTCCAAGCTCAACCATTCTGTGTGATTCTGGGAACTCCCCCAGTTTCAGCACCTCTCCATGGACATACAACAGCCTACAGCTAAGGGAATGGCTACTCTGAAGTTCAGAGGCATCATTTACCTCTGATGCTTTCAGCACATGTTGGAACTTCAAAACTGTGTATTTTGGGCACCAGTACCAGTCTTGTTAACTCAGCAAATTTGCCAAGCCAAGGGATTAATAGTAGCAGTGGAAGTCCCTGCTGCCACAGTTTTACTGCTACCATTTGTTTAAATCTGGGTCTAGTTTCAGCTCCAGGTCTGCCCAGTGTGGTATCAGGTTTAAATTTACCAATACTTCTGTATTATGCTACACAGAAACAGTCATTTACAAAGCCAGAAAAAACAATGAACTTGCAATGGAACAAACCTTACATGACAAAACTGACAGAAAGATAAAACTAAAAAGCTCCAAACCTTGAATCCCAGTTCAGGCAGGGCAGATTTGTCCCAGTGAGCTGGAATGTTCTTAAACCCTTCTGTATGTTTAACGCCCCTGTAGATTATAAGACATTACAAATAGACAATTAAAATAAAAACTAAATATGACATTTTATGTACATATTATACTAAACATTTTTGTCAAGCTTAGGGAGAATATAGGCAACTGAACATATTCAAAAATATATCAAAACTGTGATTTCTGTTCAGCAAATGAAAATATTTGTTCCAAGTCATTGTGTCAAGACTTATGTCAGAAAGCAAAATCCAAACAAGAAAAAAATATATATATATACTCTAAACTAAACACATAAGGATTTCTCTTGCAGAGTTGAAAGTATATATAAAAGCTCTGCTGCACCAGGGGAGGTAAACAGAAATGCATCCAGTATCCCATCAGTATGACAGAAACAGGATAGATACAACCCTCCCCTGTACTTCCACCCCAATTTTAATTAGCTGCTCTTTTCAGTGTTTAAGCAAGTACTGTGTGCTGCAAGGGAATGTGCAAAAATTGGCTGTTACATGCAACTCTATCTCCTTGCAGGCTCTCACCTTTTGCTCTACCTGTAACAACTACTGCTTTCCTTTCAGATTGTCTGTCTGCTCTCAAAATAATTGTTCTGAACTTACACTTAGCTTTGAAAATTACTCATCTCAGAAAGAGCTAGTACACATAAACGCACTGCTACATGTTGAATTATTTCCTATGTTTCCACACTTCCTGTGGCCAAGCCCAAATTGTCTTCACCACAGAGGTTCCTGAGGTGAAAACTGCTGGTCAGCCTGCAACACTGCCCTGGCTAGACATGGTTGTAGGAAAGGTATGTCCCTCTCCCTTTTCATGTCTTTCACAATTGCCTCAATAGCTACTTCTTCACCCTACTTGCACCCATGGAGGATTCAGCATTCACAAAGCACCAAACCCATCACCTCAAAATGAACAGTTGTGGTTTACCTGTCTTTTATCTTTTCCACCTCTTCCTGAGAGACAAATTTAGGTCTTCTGCAAATCTTCCTCTCTGTTTTGTAGCAAATGTTTTTCTGCAGCATGGCTGGGGAAAAAAAACAACCAAACAAAATCCCATGAACAATCAAAGACGGTTTTGACAAACTACAGACATATTTGTCACTAAGTTGTTTTGTCAAAAACATTGACAAAAATACTCCCTCCTCCTCATTTTGTAACTCAGACACTTTTTTCCTACATTTAGATGTAGATTTCAAACCCTGTAAAGAGAACCCAACATCTATCACCAACCATTTATTTTTATTGACCACCAAGAGAAACAAGTTACAGTAACCTGAATTTTAGAACCATTCCTTCTTGGAAATTCTGCAGCTATTGTGACAACATACTAACAATTAAGAGTCGCTACCAGCCAGGACAATGGGGCCTCATCTTCAGAGCAAGATACACAGGAAAACAAACAAAAAAAAATACCTATTGACACCAGCAGGCCTAGAAATTAAGTTCTAAAAGACACCTACACTGCATATATTTGCCTAAGTTACTAAAAAAGCCCAAACCTTAGAGAAAGGATTGATTCACTGTGCAATTTTCACTTCTAAGCCAGACAATTTTTCCCAGAACTGCTTTTGATTGAATCACAAACAACAGATAACATGCTCTTTCTGGTTTTTTTAGTTTGGGGTTCTTGTGTTTGGCTTTTTTCCATGCAGAATGAGATAGTAATGAAAAGCTGGATCAAAGATAACTACACCAAATTGACAGTCCAGGCAGGCTGATTCCTACCACTGTTCTGCATAATTTTTGAAAAGGATGCCAGGAAAGGCAACAGCTCAGAGAGGACAGTGCCATCACAAGTGGCTTGTATTTCCTGAACTCTTGGGAAACACTTCTTCCTACTTTGACATAGTCAAAGTATTCTCTCAGCCTTTCCAGACAGGATGAAAAGAAAATATGTGCAAAAATCTTGTAATGCTAAGGATTGTCTGGACCCTACACCTTGTCCAAGTGTTTATTTTTCTGGACACTAGTTATTAAAGTAGAGCAGAAGCTAGCTTGTCAAGTCTTCTAGAAGTTCCTCACTATTTGTGTTGATGCCAGCATCAGTGTCATACTTGGACTTTCTGGCAGACATTTTGAAACCTAGCACAAGAACTCAAAAATAAACGCTTTGAAAGAATAGAATGTCACTCTGCTTATGTGAACAGCTCTTATCCTGAGAATTTTGATAGAAACTCTGTCTTTGTAAGCACTGCAATTCAAAGTCCAAATTTCTCTCTTCTATCTCCTGTAATAAGGTAGGTCAGAACCACAAGAGATGTGGGAGGGAGGGACAAAACAGAAAAACAAAGAAAATGCAACCTACACACAAAATTTATTTCATATTCATGTCTTCCAGCTTTGAAAGTCATCTTTGGAGAACTGTCATACAAGTAAGCTTTCTCCAGGTCATCACTGGAGACAGTAGCAACCTCATGAAGACCATCCTGTCATGGCAAAAAAAGAGAGAAAAAAAAGTTTCTCCTGGTTTTTTATAGACAAGCAAGTCTAAAAACCAACAACTCTCCTAAGTATCGTGGCTGCAGGATGTATCAGCATGTGAGAAATCCTTGATTTAGAGTGACACATCCACCAACTAGATCAAGAAAGATGGCAGAGTACTACTGGATCTTTATAGAAGGAGGCTTTTCTTAGAACCAATGGAAATCTATTATTACTGTGATCCTATCTGACAGGACTGACTGAATAGTTACCTGTTGATAATACTTGTGACTCACATCAGTCCCCTACCTGAACTAATCAAAATCACAGGGAAAAGACCACATTAGGCCTTTAATGTCCATCTGTACAGTATGAGAGGAAGAGGGTGACAAAAGGGGGGGAAGATGTAAGCACTGTGTACTTTTCTGTAGTTCTGCACTTCTCACACAGAGTTAGGAGTCTCTCCATTTCTCCACACTTACTTGTTTTCCATACTCCTGCCACATGCCATATTCATCTTTCCAGTACCAAATCCATTCTGTTGTAAGAATGAAGTGAGGAGGTTTGGTCACAGAGGAAGCTGTAGAAAGACGTCTGACTTTTTGGAACTCACAGCACATGTCACGAAAACAGATACTGAACGGGACAAAAAGCCCTTCAGTAAAAGCATAGTCAAATCTATTAAAAAAAAAGGAGGGAAGAAAATCAACTGTTTGTGAAGCTTTACTCATAGATTCAGAAGCCCACTACAAATTTGCAAATTAAGTCAATCTCACCCAAAAGCAGAACACAAAGGTGCACTTTTCACTACAATGTGTACTTTGCAACTTGCACTTTTCACAACCCTGTATGCTAGCTCTATTTCGTGTTTGTACATATTTTGCATAATGTATTAATATAATACATTAAAATAATACATTGTAATTAATATAATATAATAAATATAATACATTAATGTATTAATATAATACATTAATAGTATAATGTATTAATATAATACATTAACAGTATTATGTCTCACATTGATACTGTGGGCAATAATCATAACCCACTCCTAAATAAGTAAGTTACATAAGATGAACAGGAACAATGGAAAACAGGCATTGCTGCCTTCTTGCTGACCAGCTATATTCTAAAGAGAACATTGACATAACTTAAGAAGGGCTTCAAAGAGCCTGTAACATAAGAGGAACAGGTAATTTTCCAGCATGGGATGTGGCATACTGGTATGAGCCCCTTCCAATACTCTCTTTGTAATATATAACCAGTTCCAAACTCTGAAAGGTATTTCTATATTCTTTATGTGCTCTGGTCCCTTTCTCCAGGTATTCTGCAAGTTCCATGATATGGACTGTGGTAAAAGGGGAAGGGAGGGGCAAATCTCATGCAAAGTGAGGTCAGCAGAAGAATGTCAGATAAAACTACTTATGTAATGACTACATTAGAATTGCAACAATTTATAGCCACTAAGGCTCTGGTACAATACAACAAACTACAATTATAATTTTTTATAAGAGTTTATACCTGGCGTTTTTTGGGTCACAATATGCTTCTTCTATTTCTTCCATATTTATGAAGTCCTTCCAGGTATTACCCTCAGAGTACTGCCATCTATACGGCAAGTGAAAATGGGTTCTGATACACTTTTCTGTAAAAGTTTAAAAAAAAAAAAAGGAAGTAGGAGATGCATTAATTTGACAGGCTATGAGAGAACTCCAACATTTCAGGGCTGTGTACCCAGCTGGTGAAATCATCAAAAGGATAGCTACGGAAAGTGTTCACCTATGGCACCATTACAAGCAGAAGTTCAAAAGTTTTCAGCATAAGCAAGCAAAACTTGAATTTTTGGGCTTAAGTAGAAGTTCAGGTTCTGTGAGTATTAGACTCTCTTTGCACACTAAAATTGCACAGATCATTCTCAGTTTCAGAGACAAAAAATGATCACCGGCTCCTACAAGGCTATTATTTAATAAATTGAAAAAAAGTGTATTTATGATTAACCACTAAATCACAAAGTGGCATTACTGAGGACAAATCCAAAGCACAGAAGTGCTTAGTTTTAAGACAGGAGAAGGACTGCCATTGTTTAATTTCAGATGGTAAGTAAGTACAACACAGCCATTTACTTCCATTTCTTTCAGTGAGATGGGGAGAACAGGAAAAATGTAAATCTGTGGGCTGAAATCAGAACAGTTTAGTAATTGAAACAAAATACAATATAGTAAATGTAAGTATATGTACATACATACATATATATATATATATATATGTATATATATGTATATATATATACACACACACACACACTCTCATATAACCAAAATGAAGCTAACAAAAAGTAAGAAAAGAATAAAGCCCAAGAAATACAAGTGTTGCACACTACAATTGCCCACCCACCACTGACTGATGCCCAGCCCCTTCCCAAGCAGCAAACAGCCCCTCCCAGCCAACTCCCACAATTTATATGCTGAGGATGATGTTCTAATGGTATGGAATTGCCCTTTGACAAGTTCAGGTCAGCTGTCCTGGCCATGCTCCTTCCCATCTTCTTGAGCACCTCCTCATTGGCAAAACACAGGCAGCTGAAAAATTCTTGATTTTGGGTAAGTGCTACTTAGCAACAACTAAAGCACAAGTGTGATACCAATGTTATTCTCATCCTAAATCCAAAACACAGCACTGTACTGGCTTATAGGAAGAAAATTAACTCTGTCCCAGCTGAAAGCAGGGATGTATCCACCACTTATTCCATACTATTTACACCATGTCTAAGTTCATACCTTCCAATACAACCCAGTTAACAACCATCACCTTTCCCCTCTTTTGATAAATACACAGACATCATTCCTTTAGTCTCAAAGTCCTTTGCCCTTCAGTAAGTCTTCAAGAGATCCAGGCTCCACAAATTAGAGCAATGTAGCAGTGAGCCAGGTATCACAAATGTTACTCAGAGTTCAAAGTGTCAGTGTGCAGTCACTCCTCAACTGGAGTGAAGGTGACATCACATGTGCGTAAACCCAAGGCAAATTTCCAGAGCAGAACAAAAGGAAACTTAAATACAGGGAAAGTCAAGGAGAAACTGCACCACGCAGTTCAAATGAGGACGTGTTTGGTACACGGGTCAAGAACATCAAGAAAAAAAAAAAGAATGACAAAATCAACAAAAACACTGGCAAAGCAGCCTTGTTCCTGGACACCTGGGAACATTTTGAAAGGGAGACAGCTAAGACAGGTGGAACAGAAGAGTACTAGAAGAAACAATGGATAATGTAGAATTCAGAGTATCTTTCATATCTTTCCTATTTGGAAATATGACTCCTATCATTGAGCAATCTCTTAGGTAAACACAGGTGGAGTAGCCAATATTCAGCAAAAGCAGATTCCAGAGCAAAACAAAACATCTCCTTTGTTTGGTATGCCAGGTCAAACACTTTCCTACAGCAGTCAAGATAGCAGTGAGATTTAACTAAACAGAAGCATAAACTCACAGAAAGTTTCCCCTTTCTGTGAAAGATGTCTACCATTTCCTCTTTATGACAACAGAAAAACAGGCTGGACTTGACAAATATTGATACTTGAGACAACCTACCTTTAAAGCCACAACTTCTGTACAGATGATGTAAGCATATCTGTTCTGATTCATCCTCCTTTGAAGATGAGGAATCCCGTCTAGTGCTGGGTTTTCCATCTAGAGGGGGGAATTGCAACTATTAATACACTTAATATCAACAGTGCTTCTTCAAAGTGCTCCTATCCCTAGAGAAGAAGCCTAAAGGCAATGTCTGTAACTACCTAACTGCACTCAGCTCCAGAAAGACAAGGAAGCCTTTAATAAACTAATATATTCAAAGTCCCTCCCTGTATCCACCCTTTCTGAACTTGACTTCCCTGTAACTGCTGAATTCCTCAGATACAGTTTTTAGCTATCACCACAAAACAAGAATGGAATCCAACGCCTTTATGCTTCTAGATGGACTTGAGCTAATTGTGCATTGCACACAGCTGATCACACTGGCAGCTATAAAATGCAAAGTTTCAAAATCTGATACTCTGTAAATTAAAGCACATTAAGCAAAGGAAGAAGGAACTGCAGGCAGAATAAAAGAGATAGATGAGCATACACACTTGACTTCTCCATTCTGTTAACCCTTTTTTTTGCCTGCTAAATTATACTTAACTTACAATTCTAAAAAACTTCAAAAGAAAAGTGCAAACAAAATATTACACTTCTGAGAAATAACTAGGATAGTGCTGTTTGTGAATTCTTGTGCTAGACAATCACTACATTAAAGACAAAGAATTAAATAGCTCATAATCAGACAACCACCACTCCTATTCTTAAACAGGTCTCTACCTTTATGTATTTTACCTAAAAAACTCCAAAATTATAGCGCTCCCTATTTCCAGTTCCTGTTACTCTTTTTTAATCCCAAGTTTAAGAATTTCATTAACATCAGCACTCTATTTCTCAGGAACCACTCTTGATTTCATTTGTCAAGACAAAGACCTTTGTCAGTGAGATAGGTACAAACCAAAATGTAAATTCAGTTTTCTTAATGACACCAGCAAAAATATTAAATTCACTACCATGACTCTTCTGATGAATTCAAAAGATCATGTTATTTACCTTTGCATGGTGAAGATTTGACATCTTCTATGTCATACATGTTTCTGTTGCCATTTTTTATGTCATACATGTTTCTATAAGTGGAAGGTAGTTTCTTAATAATGTCTGAGCTCATCCCCTGTCTCTCCAGTTTCTCAAAACATTCTGGATTTAATAAGTCATGGGACCGTTTGCAGCTGCTGCCAAATCTGCACTGACCCCGCAAAAAGTACTGGCAAACATGAAGTTTGGTGCAAGATGTTTTAAAGGAACAAGATCCATGAAGTCCATCACCTTTGTTATAATGCAAGCAGACCTTGGGAAGGAGAAGAAAAAAAGAATTTAAACATCAAAGTACAATGTGCTTATTTAGACTATTTGAATCCATTATTTGGCTACAATGTGCATACATTTGCTTTTTACAGAAACATTTCTTCTTTCTTCTTGTTTTCCAAATGACTGCTTGATAGCTTTTCCTTTGCCCTGCTAATGTTTAGAAACATTCTTACAGACATTCTCAAGATGGAACTTAGTGCTAAGTCACACTTCTTCGATTTTCTAGTTTTGGAATAGTTTTGGAATCTTTTTCATCCCAACTTGATGGTAAGACATACTGGATATGGCTGGGATGGAGTTAACTTTCTTCATAGCAGACCATACCACACTATGTTTTGGGTTTGTGACCAAAACAGTATTGGTTTGGTCTGTTTGGGTCAGTTGTCCTGGCCATGCTCCCTCCTGGCTCCTCGTGCACCTCCTCACTAGCAGAGCATGGGAAGCTGAAAAGGCCTTGACTGAAAGTAAGCACTCAGTGGGTTAAATCCAAAATACAGCCCTGTTCATGATACCAGTAAGAAAATTAACTCTACCTTAACTGAAACCAGAACAAATAAACACCACACAGCCTCTCACTCCCGCCCTCCAGGGTTGAGGTAAACAGTTTATATGGCATAAAAGGAAGAGGAGATAATAATGATAAAACAATAGACAAAACAAGTGATGCACAATGAAACTGCTCACCACTCACTGACCAAAGCCCAGCCGGACCCCTCAATGTACCACCATCCCTGGGCCACCTCCCCTCAGTTTCACTGTTCAGAATTATTTCATATGGTATAGAATATCCTTCTGTCCAGTTTGGGTCAGCTCTCTTGGCTGCATTCCCTTCCAGCTTCTTGTGCACTCCCAGTCTACTGGCTAGCAGGGCAGTATGAAAAGCTGAAAAGTCCTTGACTTAGAGCAAGCACTGCTCAGCAAAACCAAAAACATGAGTGTTATCAACATTGTTCTCATCCTGAATTCAAAACACAGCATTGTACCAGCTACTAGAAAGAAAATTAACTGTATTCCAGCCAAAACTAGGAAATAGTCCAAATTGGCCAGAGGGATATTCCATGCCACATAATGTCATCCTCAAAAAAAAAAAAAAAAATAGTGAGGAAAGGGACAGAGGGAAGGTGAAAGAAGGGGGAGATGGGTCCTTCTTACAAGGTAGCACTTGCTCAGAGACTTGTTGGGCTCTGAGGTGGTGAAGCAGAAGTTCTCTTTTGCAACACTTCTCCCTGCTTTCCTCCCCTTGCTACAATGTCTTTATCTCCATTCACAGGTTTTGCCACTTTTTTTCTTCTAGTTAATGCTCATCTCCTCTGCTTGTGGTGGGGGAGTGAGGAGTGGGTGAGGGTCTGTTCAAGAGCTTAGCTGCCAGCTAGGGTCAATCCACCACAGGTGAGAACAGAGGATGCAGATTTATTTTTAGATTTGCATTAAGCTAACTAAATTGACACTCAATATCTCCATCTCTGTAAAGCCTCTTCCATATTGTCATGCCCACTGAAACACAAGGCTAAGAAGCTGTTACAGTAATACTCACCTCTGGTAAGAGGGAAGGGTCATTTTGAAGCAGAAGCTGGCAAAGTTCATCATGGTTTAAATTCTCAAGTCCATATTGCTTTAGAACACGGAGATTGTGGTCTGAGTGGAAGCTGTGAACAAACCTGCATCCCTTCCTAGAACTCAAGAAACCGAACAGCAAAATGACTGGCATATTTTGACACCCCATGGGCATTACACTGAAAGCTGGAAAAGCACACCAAATTAGCTCGTTTCAGAAAAACCCACATTGCTCTTCTATAAAGCCATTATGTAATTTGCAAAGCAGATTACATAATTATTCTGAGGATAATTGCCACGCTGCTTCTGATTCACAGTCATTATAGCCTTAGTGCACTCTGACAATATCGGCATTTTGGACCTGCAGCTCACAACCACAAAACCACCAAAGCTCCAGAGCATCATCCCCTCTCAGCCCCTGAGTGCATCACCCAGGGTCCCGCAGCACAGGGATGTGCGGGGACACTCAGCTTTAGCACATCACCCAGGGTCCCGCAGCTCAGGGATGTGCGGGGGGACACTCAGCTTTCCCCTGGCACAGCCCTGCCCACGGACAAGGAAGCGCCAGGGTGACGAGCCAGGGAGGAAGTGCTGCGACCCAAAGCTATGAAACAACCGCCTGTGTCTGCCTCCTTTGCAACAACACACGCACAAATAAATTGGGGTGCTCACGGCCAGCGAGCATTTCCACGCGGAAAGGCCTCTCCTGATCGCTCCTCGCCCTGCCCAAGGCCGAGCCCCCGCCATGGCGGCCGCGCCCGCCCCTCACCTGGCCAGCTGGTTGCGGCAGAAGCCCTTCAGGTGGTACTTGCAGATGTGCAGCTGCCCGCACTGCCCCGGGCAGCCCGCGACGTGCTCCGGGCACAGCCGCACGGGGCTGGTGGCCACCACCACGGCCACCTCGGCCTCGGCCGCGGCCGCCGCCCGGCCGGGCCGGCGCACCAGCGTGAAGCGCTGCGCGTCCCGCAGCACGGCCGCCAGCTGCTCGGCCGAGGGCCGCGCCGGCAGCCGCCGCAGCAGCTCGCCCTGCTCCAGGCAGCCGCCGCTAGCGCACAGCACCCGCAGCGCCTGCACCGCCAGCGCCATGGCCGGGAAGCGCCTCCCGGGAAAGCGACGGAAACGGAAACGAAAGTGAAAGAGCCCGAGAGGAGCGGGACCGCCTCGGCCCGGGGCGTTCGCTCTGCCCCCGCCGGGGAGCGCCTTGCTGTGGGTGATGCGGCGCACGGACAGCGGCACCCGGCCCTGCTCCTCCCTCCTGTGCCTGGCTTTCAGGATGTATTGACCGTGTTCAATCACATGTCACCAAAAAGGGATGGCAGCTGGGTGGTCACACATTCCCTATAGGAAAAAGCGGACCCAGGGATGAATGGAGCATCAGCCAGGTGATTTAACCTTAAGTTACAGGGAGAAGGCTGGTGTGTGAATTCTGCCGTCAAAAACATCTCAGTTAAGGTTTCTGACCTGTGCCACTTTCCTGACGATACATCGTGACGGCTGCTCTCACGCTTCTTTCAACATCTAAATTAAAAGCTCGGTCATGGTCACACGTGTAGGCACACTGCCCTGCCCTGCTTGCAGTGCTCGTAGTGGCACCTGCTACACGGTGGTACAGCACTGCTTCTGCCTGCACAGCAGCCATGGCACCAGTGCGGCCAAGCAATGTCCTCATCCTCTGGGAAGTCACAGACTCCTTAGAAGGGTGCCCATCTTTTAATTAAGTGCCTTTTCCTGGGTCGTTTTGACACTCCTGGTTCTGCATCACAGTGTTATAAATGGTTGTGATCTGTGCTAACAAAATCGTAATTATATCAATAAATTCGGGAAAATAATTGGAAAAGTATATGTGATTAGTGTTATGAAGCAGATGGGAATACATGTGGGAAATAGGGTGCAGGAGTTGGATTTGGCATTGGAAATGGAGGAAGTCAGGAACTGACTCCCAAACCAAAATTGGCATAAACTGAAGTTAAAAGACAACTCCCAGAGCAGGATTGACCTTGAATATCAATAAAGTTGGGACCATTCCAGACAGGGAGTCTAAAATAGTGGTCTTATCTATGAAATAAATGAGGTTTAATTGGAACATAGTGCTTATTTGTATTACACCAAGATTAATGTGCATGTGCCACCTGCCAGGTTATCCAGAGGACATGTGAGGAAGACCTTCAGCCTTCCTCCTAGAAGAGCCCTGAAGAGACCAAAAGACCCCATAGCAACAATGGGAGCACGCGCTGTGCAGTAGAGTGATGTAGATTTCAAGAATGAAAAATGGGAGGAGATTTATGGAACTATTGATGAATATGTATTAGCACACAGTATATACATTGTGTTTGGATCCTTTGTATGGGAGGCAGGGTAGAAAGTCCTCCCCGTACCCTGGTCAGTTTTGCTTATGCTTTATCCACACCACTGCCAAATTTCTTTTTGTAACTACTGAATTATATTTGATTGCATTATTATTTTATGCCTCAATTAAAATTGCTGCTAAATTTTAAATCTTGTGGTTTATTAAATTGGACATATAGGGACCAAATTTATAACAACAGTCACTCAGAAGCATGCTTTAAATGGTGGCAGAACAATGATGCTAAAGTGCCATCATTTCAGTCAGACTAGCAGTGGAAGCCATGGGGACTGTCACTGATGGTGGTTCTCATCGAACAAGAGTCCTGTCTCCTTTCTTCTTTTGCCAGTCTAGTTGTGCCTTTCCCCTTGCCTCATCTTACTTCCTGCTTGCCCTGTGAGATCAGGAAGGAAATGACAAAAAGTAGAATCTAGAAAAGTGCACTGAATGGAAAACCAGCTCTACTCAGCCAGAGTACAGGTACTCTTTCACAGAGATCTATCTGTAGCTTGCCTGTGACAGGCCATCAACAAATGTTTAGGAGACAACATGAGAGGCTGGAGCGTCACATGTTCTGTGGAAGTAATTCCGTAGATTGGAGTGTCTTTGTCATCCTTTCTTCCTTAAGACAGTCTTTCCTTGAGGGGCAGACCTGCAGATGGTCACATTTGTCACTGACGGTCACCTGGTGGTAAGGCACTTTAAAGAGAGAGATCACACACCACTGATAGTGATTGACAGTATCACAGAACAGTTGAGGTGGAAAGAGGCCATAGGAGGTCATCTGGTCCAAACCCAAATCCAGCTGTTTCATCACTGAAAGAGAATATGGGTGGAAGCCTCCTTATTTTGCTGTTTTGTCTAATGGTCTTAAATTACTGGATAGATGCATTAGATAAGTGCCCCATCAGTGGGAGATGTCTTGACTGAACCAAAACTCAGGGAACACTTTAGCATAAAAAACATTGAAGCAGCATTGTACTCAATAACTCTAATTCTCCCTAGCATCTATTTACTTTTTCTGACTCAAAATCCATCCTATCAAGCCAGTTCCCAACTTTTTACATCTTAAAGATCTGTCCCAACATCACTGTACTGTCCAGGTAGCTGTTTCAATTGTATCTTCCTTTCAGAGTTTTTTTCCTCATGCATCTAAAAAACCCCATTCATTTGGCAGAAATATGGTGATTTTTTAATGATAAAATTGGTATGAATGACTATGCCAATGTCAACATTATGTAGAGAGGAGTACCAAGAAAGAAGAGCAGTGTAAGATCAGGGTTGGAGGGGTGATTTCAGGTAGCTTTACACCATTGCAATTCATTCCAAAATGTTGGCATGTGTATCACAGGGAAGTTCACATGGCTGTTCCTGCTCTGCAGGAACTCCTGAGTGAGTTTTTTTGAGGCTGTGGAGTAGAGCTATAACTCTGTCTCTTTCTCATGGAGAACAAAAGTAAAAGTATGAAAACAAGCAATGATTGATGCAGAGAGAGGGTTTGCAGAGATGCCTTTGAATTACAGCACCTTCCCAAGTCTGAATTTATACCCAAAATAAATCATAAATTATTCTTTCTCACACAAGTTTCTTGTAGCTTGTTTTGTGGCATGTTCCTCAGGAAGAATAAAAGTACCCCTTTGATTTGATACAACTTCCCCACCTATGAATTATATATAAGCAAAATTGTACTTTCTTCTTCAGAAGAAGAATTATCAGCTAACAGAAAAGTCAATTTTAATTTATAAAATTAACTGCCATTAGCCATGAAGGGCACCTAAGGAAAGTGGCTCCTCTTCATCTCTCAAATACTGTAATTAAAGGTAAGGCTGTTTTCTTAAATGTCATTGTAGCATAATTGCATATGAGCTGCTCTACCTGCAGTAATGACTGCTGTGCACATTGGTCCTGAAATAAATTCCCTCTAAGCAGTTCCTAAAGCTTCTAAACAGCTGCTGAACTCAGACCACATGGGGTTTTCATAACTGTGGGACTTTAGGTACTGCAATTTTAGTGAGCCACCTTTGTTAAAATCTGATGTATTGCGCTATGAAAACTTTACTTTAGAAATTAGCAGATGTCAGTCATTAGACTGACATCTTTATTTTTAGGAACAATTTATGGATAGTTGTGTTAATTTGAACTGTGGCATCATTTCTTAATCTTGTTTGCATCAGTATTCAAAATGTAGTAATTTAATGATTTTCCTGTGAATTTTCATATGCATCTTTAAAACATCCATTGTTGCTAGGTGCATGATGCCTCCACTTCCCACCCCATCCACGTATTTCAGTCTTCCTTCCAGCTAGCATGGTGAAACTCCTGGCTTTGTATTGTCTGTTGTGGGAGATGTAAAGAAAATGGGCAGAAGAAGACAGAAGTGTGATATGTTTGCTTGCAGCTGTTTTTGGTTGCCTGTCAACCTACATTTAAACACACAATTGAGGGTTAGTTGTTGTCCCACTGATGGTCTGGCAACATGGTTAAACACAGCTAAACTTTCCATTCTTTTGTCTGCAACTGGCTGGTTTATTATGGCTTGTATTTGCTGTTCATCAAACACATATAATTTATATATGTTCCTTTTCTGGGTTAAATACAGGTGTCCCATCCACCTTCATCAAAATGGGTAAAATTTTATTCCAAATAATTGATATGTTGGGATTCCACATTTAATTTGGTCTTTGCTCAGATTTGTTTTGATTGTTTTATTTGAAGGCCATGCAGTCTTTGGTCTTGTATACGAAGGCCATGCAGTCTTTGGTCTTGTATACTTGTAATCAGTTCCATCAACCTATTATTTCTGTGTACTTCTCTAATTTCTTCACCTACAGCTAGTGTTTCTGAAATCTGTACTAATTGACAGCATATGGACCTTACAGCTACCATCCCAAGAGTCTCCTAGTGTCATGTTAACCTAAAAATCAGCCATCCCACAGGTAACACATGCACCCACAACTTGAAAGCAAGTAACAGGAAACTCAGTTCTGTTGCAGTATGTGAAAAGCACCAGACTGTGGGGCTGTTGGCTGTCCCAGGGATCTTGCAGACTCTGCAAAGAGCAGGATAAATCCTCATTTTTTGCTCTTGCCTCAGGATACAAATGTAAACATATATTTTCACAGGCAAGCACATAGTCTGGGCAGCATCTAGGACGAATTGTCTGTTTTATAATAATAAACCAGCCTAATATAATATGCAAAAAATTGTATTGCGTACAGTTTGGTTAATTAGATAAGTTTCAAGAGGTCTTGCTTGTGAAAATAAAAAAAAATTGGGGCTGAAAATTCACTATACAGTTAATGATGCTGTTATTTGTCACTGGCACACTTCTAGTCTTATTCTGTTGAACATTTTATTGCTTGTGCCACTGTAAATGTCTGTTTATTGTGTAAGCCTTATGCTTTTGTTCTTTTTCATACTCTCAAAAAGATAATGTGTTCACATATACCCATAATCTTGTACACTGGCTTTCTCAACCTTTCAGAAACATCTTAAGAAGCCTCTTTAAATCTACAGTGATCCTCAAATGAGCAGTAAATTGGCCGAAGTCAGAAGCCTTTTGCTGATCTTGCAGCAGTTTTTCCTGCATTTGCTACTGTATTATCCACTGTCTGTATTATCTACAGTTTTAACAAACTGAATCTCAATGTATCTGTTAATTCTTTCTTTAAGCATTCCACTTTCAGGTGGGAGTGACCTCCCTGTTGACAGATAGTGAACATCAACTCTATTTTCATTAATGTAGGAGTT